CATCTACTACAAAAACTTAGAAACACTAAGTCAAAATCTTAAATTTCAAGAGAAATTCAAATAGGTCATAACAATAAGTTAACAGGACATTGCAACCTTCGATTGATTAAGCACTGTGTGAAGATCTCTTTCATGTACTCAAAATGGCTGTTTATCACAAAGGAATCACCCTTTTTCCAGACTAAAAGTCTCCCAAAAGTGGATTTGCCAGCCACAAAACCCTTTTGAGACCAGACCTCCTGCTGGTATATTGCCCCCAGGCAAACTTCAAAAGACACATCTGCATACCATCTCATTTATGGTTTTAGAGCACCCCCAAAACGCTGGTCTCATAATTACATCATGAACAAATGTCGTTCTGTTGTTTGTCCTCTGATAAAAAAAGAAAAAAAGAAACACTGTATTTTTCTATCATGATTCCATCGTTGTAATAATGCCCTGTTTTTAATTACTTCACAGGTAATCTATCATTCTGTGTGTTTAATCAATTTAGCAGTAAGGGACGGTGAAAAGAAAGATAGATCATGTGACTGTTTTCAGCCAATCCTGAGTGTACAGTCAGGACAATAGATCACAGTTCTAGGTAGTTTTACATAGTAGTTCTGAAGAAGAGTTGAAAGGAGAAGAAGCGAGAGAGGACTGGAGTCCAAGCTCCATTTTTCCCCTTTGGGGACATTTTATTTTATTTTTTGTTTGTTTCTTTATTTTTCTTTTTGTACTTTTGATGGAGTTATTGGGAGGACGCAAAGTTGCGCAGGATTCTAAATTGACATTCATTCATAAAGTCAGGACCCAGCCGAGCTGTGAAGTGTGTCGACTGTCGCGTGAGCTGAAAGTTTTGCCACCAGATTATCTAAACGGGACTTTGTCTGCCAGTCCAGGGTGAACAGTCAACCAGAGGTAAGACAAGGCTGTTGACCTAAAACTGTTACAAAGTACCCAAGAGGTCTGAAGACTGCTCCGGTAAGCCACGCTGAACTCCATGGCAGCTTGCGTGTGCTCTCTAATATGAATTATAATCAATTTAGAATTAACGCAAGTCGTGTTCTTCCCACATAACTTGGTCTCTTTAGAGTTCACCTTTATAACAACTACTTAGTTGTACTTTAAGCTTTCACTTATTTTGCTAGTGTAGAACTAGTTAGAAGTGGTTCAGTTTGAATAATGTTAGAGGTGATTATAGGGTGAGAATGTCACATTATTATTAAACACAAGTCCGTGATAATAATGGTGTTTTGTTTGCCCCAAATAACCTGCCTGTATTGTTACATCTGAATCACTAATACAGGGTATATTATGAAATTTTCATGCTCGTGTGTGCATTTATTTATTCGGTTTGCTGTCTAAACTGAACGAATTCGCTCTTCAGTACTTGAGATTGAGTAAAATTCCATCCATTTCCATTTTCTTCRGCCTATCCGGGGTCGGGTCGCGGGGGCAGCAGCTTCAGAAGGGAGGCCCAGACCTCCCTNCTTCCGCCTATCCGGGGTCGGGTCGCGGGGGCAGCAGCTTCAGAAGGGAGGCCCAGACCTCCCTCTCCCCAGCCACTTCTTCCAGCTCCTCCGGGAGAACTCCAAGGCGTTCCCAGGCCAGCCGAGAGACATAGTCCCTCCAGCGTGTCCTGGGTCTTCCTCGGGGCCTCCTCCTGATTGAGTAAAATTACAAGATTAATTTCCTGTGATCCACAGGTGGTGCCCCGCTTTCTTGCTAATGAGTTACGAGAACTTAGAATTTAGCAACTTTTCAATAATTAACATTTTCCCTACATATATATTTTGGTGCCCCGTGTGAGGCTTGCAAGCCAGTAGATCTTATCAAGACACAAGAAAATGAGACTACACTGATCCATGTTATTCAACTATGTGTGAGTTTAATGGACTTTTATTGTGAAAGCCTCCCAGAAACGATCACATCACCGCTGTGCTTTTCACAATTTGTTGTTTCCTTCCGAAACACGCTCATGTAGGAACCAGTCTACAACTTTATAGCGATTTAAAAAGGTAAATCATGCTTGTTGTTTATTGTCTGTAGATAATCTGAGGTTGTGAGTCTGTTTTTGGTGTGTTACGACAGTCTGAGGACTGTTTGTTTGTGAATAACTCGTGAAGTGAAACCACAAAAGATTCTAAGTGTGCAGATGAATGTGTATTCACCAGTTCTGGTCAGAGTCAGAACCGAACCAGTCAGTCGTGTGCACTGGCGTGCGCACGCTACTCCGACTGGAGCTGTATTCAAATAGCCACTCTCTGTCTCTTTGTGATACAGTCTTTGTGATACAGTCTGACCGTTCGCTGTGTTCTGTCGAATCTTGTATCTTCTCAAAACTAACCTCCTCGTTCACGCATGCGCGTTGTCACACCATTGTTTGAACCGCTGGAAAGTTAACTGTGTGTGCTTTAAGTGTAAATCCATTTAACAGCTTCACAGCTTGACTTAAACCTTAAAACCAGTCTAGATTACAGCTCCCTTCTGTAATTACATAGCTTTTAAAATACTGTCAGTATTATAATGTTACCTTGTAAATATTACTTGTTTTCTGAAACTGTTCAACTTTAATCTTAGCTTAAAATTTTCCAAGTTAATTTTCCAAAGTTAACCTTGGTATTTTAAAACTAGTGTGTTCTGTCCCATTCTTTTGCAAAGGAATGTGTTTTCAAATTGTTGACAGCTTCTGTCTTTCTAAACAGTTATCTACTCCATTTTAGAATAACATAGATAAACAATCTATCGAGTTCTAACTGAGAGTTATACTGAAAAAGAATTAACTGTGAATTTTAAAATGTTGAACAATGCTTTAAACAGCAAGAAGCAGAAACGTGTACAGTTATCTACCTTCAGAGTTTGAAATCAAAAATATCAAAGATATCAATCAAATGGTGGACATTTTAGTGATTAAAGTGATATGCAAATTTCAAACCTAGGAGCTAGTTAATGTACCCATGACTACAGAGACACAGTGGACGCACTGATGACTCTCAAAGTGTGAATGTGTGTGTTTGTGTTGCTATTTTTACTAAGAAAAGCCAAATGTTAAATGAGAAATAAAACAGAGAACTGTTTTGATTTTTAATGCATGCTAAGAAAATTAAAGTCGACATTTTGAGATTGTATTGGGCTGAAAAAATAGACCACAGTACGATGCTCCTTCTCAGAGGCAAATTAAAGCATCCATGTGCTGACACAATGCTCTGAAAGTTACCACTGTTGGGATAATTAACGTAGCTAATTAAATATTCTAACGACTGTTSTTATGAAAGCAGAATAAGGACAGGGAAGGTAAATTTAGTTTAACTCAGACGTTTATCAGAAAAACGAAAAAGGAGTTCATGAAAAAGGGAAGCTGAGAAAACCCCTTTGTTGCTGGTATCTAAAGAAATCATAATAAAGCTCACAGAAGCTTTGCTAACCACGAAGAAGTGGTAAATTCTGTTCTTAGAAGTTACATGCTCACTCCAGGTAGAGAAAGCCTGAACAAGCTGATCCGAGAATCCGCTTAGCTAAAAGTTTCCCCAAAAAGGAAATGGGGGAAGTGATTGTTTTTTTTTTTACAGCACAGATATAGATCGTTGCTGGAGTTTTAAAACCAGACCGCTGACGTCTGGAACAGATCGCCTCGCTAATAAGCTAAACTCTCTCATGATAAAGGCAAAGAAAAAAGAAACAGCCTTATTGTGAGTTTCAGAAGTGTTAAAAAGCCACAGAGCTACAAGAAAAGCCACAGAGCTACAGATGAAATATCTTAATGAGTCCAAACGAACAAGTAAAGAAAATTACTTAAGACTCACCTGAGAAAGAAAAATCTCAGCATTAAAGATTCTTCAGAAATCTAATATCAAAGTTGATAAACTCAACTATTTAGATTGGTTTAAGCTAACATCTTTAAACTAAAAAACCTTAAACTTTTCTTGACCATCATTTCAGACTAGAGCTAACCACTAACAAATGCTAACGACATCTGGTACACAGAGGTACTCACAGTGAAGTTTGTGTTGTTGTTTGCTCACACTAAGTCGAACAATATGTTAAAGGTTGATTAATAAGACTTTTCAGACTTACACATGGTTAGGCAGGACCGTTCCATGTGCCCCTTTAAATATCTCCTTTTTTCTTTTGTTTAGCTAAAGTTCTTGCATGTACCTCTTTAAAGAAAAACGAAGAGATAATTTGAGTAAGATCTTCTTTTAGTTAGGATGAATAGAAACCAGTGATGTTAGAAAATCACTGTTAGAATATTAGCTTATCATTTTTTTATTTTCACTTGTAAGTCAACCGACTTTATACATGCATGTTTTAAACCTTAGGGTTTCATTTTATTTGTTTTGTTCATTAGGAACTATATGCTAATCTCTAAATACCCAGTTAGTTACTGAACACCTGATGTGTCTCTCCACACATTGTGTCCCATGCCCGAGCTCCAGTGACGCCATCAGCCCTGCAGGGGTCGACTTCCATCACTCTCCAGAGGTCAACTCAACCAGCCTCCAGAGCTCAACTCAGCCGCCTCCAGACGTAGACTCCACCAGCCTCCAGAGGTCACCTCGCACCTACCCCCAGAGGCCAAAGACAGCCCTGCCTTCTCAAACTCTCATCTGGTATGGAATTAACGCTAACCTGTTTTTGGATTATTGACTTTGTTCTATTGTTTGAAGAGTGCTCCAGGACTGTGCTCCAGAACTAAAGGACTGATCCCTCACACAAGGACATGGAGGATGTTCATGCCACAAGAAGCAGGAAAACATCACATGATTATAACCCATTAACGTTTCATTGTTATTGTTCATAATCAAAGGGGGGATTATGTAGCATTTTCCTCCTTCAATTAATGACTTCTGATGGATATTACTTGTAGTTATGACTGTTTGGGGAAAGAAGTCAAATCTACTTATTTCAGACTTCTTTTTAAGGATCTGGCATGGTCCTTTTGCTTCGAATTAGCATATCTTACACCCCCACCAGACTTCCTGACACCTTAATGTTATCAGATAAGAGTGGTCACATTCCTGTTCCAACCCCCATAAGGACAAGCCTGTTCGCTCTCTTCAAAGGGGGGTGTCATAAATGCTTCTGCCAGACCCTTCCAGCATGACTGAGAACAAAGGGAGCCACATGCTTGATTAAATAAAGAAAAAAACTACTCGGTCCTTTTTTTTTAACTTACCTTCATGTCCTGTTTCCTGAGGTGGATTTACCTCAATGACGGTTCCTCTCCTTGTGCCTGCAAAGAAAAGAGACTTCCAATCAGGTTTGACAATCATTACCTCCTGCCAAAGCCAAACACCTCGAACACCTTTTCATGTTTATGCCACGCTGCCTAAAAGGAACTCACCTGTGTTTTTGGATTCCTCCTCCTTTCTGTGCTGCTCGCCTCCAGAAGACCTGTAAGACAAGAAACACTTTAATTAACATTCAAACCATCTCTGAAAAGACTGAACATTTCAAAATACTCACCTCATCTCCTCATTCCCTTACAGCTGATGACCCACTACCCTGCACCTGTAAATAAAAAGCACTTACCTTTTTATTCCTGTCTTCTGGTCTGGTTCTTAGTTCCGCTGACTGTTGAACAATTTTGTAAATCATATCACACACTTTCTGTAAATCATATAAACTTCATTTCACTTCTCAAATATCACTGTTTGTCCCCTATATGATATATTAATTGATATTTTTTATCTAAACAATTAATGATTTATAAAAGTAAATTAGGAAAATTAACAAGGCTGCTCAAACTTTCACATACCACTTAAAGACGGGGGTGGCACCAAAAGGCAGAACTGAATTTCAGGAGATTTGTTTTGTTCTTGTTTAGAGGTTGTTTAAGAAATGCATCAATACATGAGGTAAAGAATTATCTTCTGATTTACGTTATGTTGTTTTACTTCCAGTTATTTTTTAAAAGCTCTGCCACCACTTAACTTATTGAAGATTGTCTTCTCTTTAATGAACATTTCTAAACATTTTTTATATGTACAACTTCCTGAGCCATTGCATCCTACTGCTGAGGTTTTAGACCATATTATGTTTTAGTTTTTAATTGTAAATAAAAAAATTAGCTTCAGTTGCTCAAAAACATGAGGTTCTACAAATCCTAAAAAACTATGTAAGGAAATTTGTGTTCAATAAATCGAAGTCGACATTAAAAACACCATTGTTAAATAAAATGATTTGTAGAAGGAATCAAACCATACAACACCAGAATTCTGGATCTGAGTGAGTTTTATTGTCACTTGACCTGACAGGAAACCAACATTGGCGAAAAACCAGGAAGTTCATGTATTTTTACATCTTCTTCAATGCCTGCGTTCGCCCCCTACTGACCTACGGCTGAATCACAGGCATTCAGACAAAATCCTCAACACCTTCTTCAATGCCTGCGTTCGCCCCCTACTGACCTACGGCTGAATCACAGGCATTCAGACAAAACCCTCATCCACTGTTATCACAACGTTTAATTATGTGTTGTATTTCGGACATGTAACTAATCTATTATCAATCAAAACATAATAGATTAAACATTGTCAACATTGCAAAAAGGAAAACCTAAAAATATTGTGTTGTGC